GCGCCCGCGGGCGGCTGCCTCGCCGCGGGGGCGGTCGACGTCGTCGTCGTCGTCGTCGACGTCGTCTAGGCAGCCATCGTGGCCGCTGTGGTCATGTGGTGGTCGTCGTCGAGGTCGTCGCGGCCATCTTGGTCGTCGGGGGCGCGGGGAGGACCCGCCAGGCGTGCCCCGCCCGGCGAGGCGCCCGCCCGGCGGCCGCCTCCCCGTGGGGGCGGTGTCCCCAGAGTCCCCAGGCCTGCCACACAGTGCTCTGAGAACCTCTTCTGGTCTCCACGACATGCTCTCAGAGCATGTCTGGCTGGGACGGTCTTGCTCTGACACGTCGGGGACATGTTCTAAGAACACATTGCTTCTGTTATCAGAACATGTTGGGGGTTCTAAGAACATGTCGTGGTAGGCCTATAGGAATGCCAGGACGGTCGGTCCCTGCTCAAAGGGACGGAGGCCAAAACAAATGGAAGTCAGCCAGGTCGCTAGGCACGCACGTAAAACACACAGGATTCGAGCCACACGAGAGAGCGCCCCGGGCACAGACGTAAAACACATATGTGTCGAGCCACGGGAGAGGGACAATCCGTCAGCACATACGTAAAACACAGTTTTCGAGCCACAGGTGAGGAGCAATACATAAGCAGATACGCAAAAACCTCACAAGATTCAAGCCGCAGAAAAGGAGCAATGTCTAGGCACATGCGCAAAGCACATGGGATTCATGAAAAACGTATGGGAGTTGAGCCGCACGAGAGGGGCAATCCATAAGCACATACGTAAAACATCAAGGCTTCGAGCCACAGGAGATGGGCAAGCCATAGGCACAAATGTGAAGCACACCATATTCGAGCCACAGGAGAGGGGCAATCTAGTAGCACATACGTAAAACACGTTGGATTCGAGCCGTAAGAGAGGGGCAATATATTGGCACATGCGTAAAACAACCAGGAGTCGAGCCGCAAAGAGAGTGACAATATATATATATATATATATATATATACATATATTATATATATATATATGTATATATATGCAGATGCGTGAAACACACAGGGTTCGAACCACAAGAGATGGGAAATAGAAAGGCACAGGCGTAAAAACACATAAGATGCAAGCCACAAAGAAGGGGCAACCCATAGGCACGCACGCAAAACACATGGGATTCAATCCACAGGAGAGGGGCAATCTATTGGCACATACGCAAAACACATTGGATTCGAGCCACAAGGGAGGGGCAGTCCATGGGCACATACGTAAAACACACCAGAATCGAGCCACTGGAGAGGGGCAGTCTATAGGCACATACGCAAAGCACGTTGGAATCGAGCCACAGGGGAGTGGCAATCTGTTAGGCACATACGCAACACATCGGATTCGAGCCGCAATGGGAGAGACACTCTGTCGGCATAGACGGAAAGCATAGAGGATTCGAGCCACAGAAGCCAGGTGAGCTATAGGCGCATATGTAAAGCAATTAGGATTCGAGACGCAAAGATATGGGCAATCTATAGGCACACGCGTAAAACACATGGCATTCGAGCCACAGGAGAGGGGCAATTGCACATAGGTAGAAACACCTTGGATTCGAGCCACAATGGAGGGGCAATACATAGGCACATACGTAAAGCACACAATACTCGAGTCACAGGAAAGGGGCAATCTATAGCACAGACGCAAGACACACCGGATTCGAGCCACAAAGAGAGGGGCATTATATAGGCAGATGCGTGAAACACACCAGATTCGAGCCACACGAGATAGGCAATCTATAGGCACATACAGGAAACGCAAGATTCGAGCCACAGGAGCCAGGTAATCTGTATGCACATACGCAAAACACGTGGTCTCTGAGCCAAAGGAGAGGGACAACATATAGGCACAAACATACGTAAAACACATAAGATTCGAGCCACAGGAAAGGGGCAATCTATAAGCACATACGCAGCACACATTGGATTCGAGCCACACCGGATGGGCAATCCATAGGCACATACGTAAACATACACACACATACACACAAGAATCGAGCCACAGGCGAGGGGCAGTCTATAGGCACATACGTAAAACACATTGGATTCGAGCCACAAGGGAGGGGCACAAAAACACATAATACTTGAGCCACAAGAGATAGTCAATCGATAGGCACATACGGAAAACAAGCCAGATTCGAGCCACAAGAGCCAGGTAAGCTATGGACACATACGTAAAACAACCAGGAGTCGAGCCACAAAGAGAGGGGGGCAGTATTCATGCAAACACGTAAACACACACACACAAGATTCGAACCACAGGAGAGGGGCAATCTATAGGCACAGACGTACAAACACATAGGACTCGAGCCACAAGGGAGGGGCACTCCATAGGCACATACGTAAAACACACAAAATTCGAGCCACAGGCGAGGGGCAATATGTAGGCACAGACGCAAGACACATTGGATTCGAGCCACAAAGAGAGGGGCATTATATAGGCAGATGCGCGAAACACAGGATTCGGACCACAGGGGATGGGCAATCGATAGGCACAGACGTCAAACGCAGGATTTGAACCACAGGAGCCAGGTAGTCTACGGACACATAGGTAAACACACATAGGATTCGAGCCACAGGATAACGATACGGCCGACAGTCCGCCCCAGAGGGCCAGAGGGGGGGGCACGGGAGGCCGGGGCCAGGGCCGCCCCGAGGCCAAAGAGTCCACGCATCGCCAAGCGGAGGCAAGAGGAGAAGCAAGAGGAGAAGACGAACGCCGCGAACGCGAATGCTCACGTCGGGCTGGTCCCGGCAGACAGACCCGCCAGCATCCAGGACGGGCGCAACGCGCACACACAGGAGACGAAGAAACCGTGAAGGGCAGTGTAAAAAAGGGCGCGGCAGCCGGAGAGGCGAAACTGAGTGGTGATATTTGGATGCTCCAGGTACCAAGAAACTTCCGACGTTCCGTCTTGGGGCTTGTGGAGGCATATAGGAATCGAGCCACACGAGGAGGGGAAAGATGTAGGACCAGACCAGGATAGGGGCAATCGATGGGAACAGACATGAAACGTCTAGCATTCGAGCCCCAGTGGTAATCGATAGGAGCATACGTAAACACAGCGGACTCGACCCCCAGGAAAGAGGCAATACAACTATATATATATATATACACACACACCTAGAAGAATAACATACGTAAAACACAGTACTCGAGCCCCTGGAAATAGGCAACCTATAGGAACATGCGTAAAGCACATAGGACTCGAGCCCCAAGAAGAGAACAAGAGATAGGAACATATTGAAAACACGCAGGATGCGGGTCACAGGAAAAGGGCGATCGATTGAAACACATTCGAAACGCATAGCATTCGAGCCCCAGATATGGAGCTCAACCGAAGGCCTCAGTGGGAGGGTCCGCATGGCACCGCCGCCCCATTCTGGTACACCCATCTAACAGCTCGCGGGTGCAATAGGGTGCTCCCCAAAAGGCCCCAATGGGTGGGGTTCCGCATGGCACCGCCGCCTTACTTTGGGGAGCGTATGTATGTATGTATGTATGCATGCATGTATGTATGTATGTGTCGATGCCTGAACGTATGTGTACATGCATGTATGACTGTATGTATGTGTATGCATTTCTGTGTGTATGTATGCACATATGTATGTATTTTATGTGTCTAAGCACGCATGTGTGTGTGTGCCATATGTACGTCTGTACGCACGTCTGTGTGTGTATGCGTGAATGCATGTGTGTATGTGTGACTGTAGATGAGTGGCAATATATATATATATATATATATATATTGGAACATAAACACATAGGCTTCGAGTCCCAGGAAACGGGCAACCCATAGGAACACAAGCAAAACACATAGGATTCGAGCCCCAGGGAAGGGGCAATCGATATGTACATACGTAAAACATAGAGGATTATTACCACACTAGAGGAGCAAGTGGTAGAAACATACGCGAAGCACACGGCATTCGAGTCCCAGGAAAGGAGCATCTCAAATGAAATCTAGCCAACACAGAATAGTGAATTCCATCGGGCCAGGACACCATAGGGAGCGCTGCCAGACCGTGAAATCGAGCCAGAACACCGCCGTGAGCGCTGCCAGGCCGCGCTGCCGTGCCGCTGCTGGGCCGACGCCGAGCCTGGGAGACGCCGCCCCGCGGACCTCCTAGGGACATTCTGCCGAGAGAAATCGCTGATCTCCGCAAGAACCCCTGAGCGAAACGCCATGCGGGGAAAATGCCACAGACGTAAACTTGCGGGGGGGCCAGCGCCGATCCCGGAAACCCGCGCGGACCTCCAAGAGGGCATGCTTCTGGTAGGTTCGCGTCGTGTCGACCGGCGGCGACCCTGCCGCGGGCGTGTGAGGTGGAACCCCGCCAGTGGTCAAGAAGCGGCCTACATGGAACGATCGGGCGATCGCCGATCGTTCAAGGTTGAACGATCCACGCCGGGGTCGTCACGACACGAACCTGCCACATGTCCAGACCACGCTAGGGGAGGACGGGCCCAGGGAGGAACGCATCGACCCCCCTTGTCGCCCGCTTTCGGGCCCCGGGACCCTGACAGATCGATCTGGCCGGGGTCCGGGGCTGCGGTCGCGATTTCTCGCGACGTCTCAATGGTTCCGCGACACGGGGGCCCGAGTGCTGCTGGCGTCGGGAAGATGGCGTGCGGTGCGGCGCCATCGGCCCGCTGATCACGCGCTATCCCGTGCGATCCCCCCCCCTTGGGGGCAGGGTGCACGGAAGAAGCTCCGGCGGGGGGAGAGCGTGCACGGGAGGGGCCCCGCTCCTCGCGGGGCTTGTTTTTTTGAAAATGAATTTCCCCCTATCTCAAACCACTCTATCCCCTAACTTCCCCTATCTTCAACCACTCTAATTCCTGTAATTTTACGGTTTGCAAAAAAAACGCGCTGCGAATAGCGTCACAGGGATGCTTGGCGTGTTTTGGAGCCGCCTGGGGCTCTGAGGCAGAGCTGGTTCCGGCCAGCAGGAGGGGGCGGGCAGGTGGGAGGTTCC